ATAGATCCAAGTTTTGGTATAATCCGCATATAACTGTGGTCCTCTACTATACTCGGTATTTTAATCATTTGTTTCACATTTTTCATGGGAATTGCATAAAATGTGGTATTTGAGTTCGTAATGGATATACCACCACCTCCGGAATATTTCCAATACGGGTTCAGTGTTTTGATGATTTTAGTTCCACTTTTCAACGGATTTATTCCAAAATTGGAATTTATAGTTCGCAATGGATACTACTTCCTATGATAAAAAAAATGAAATTCGTAATAGGCGCCGCCTTCTCTGGCAGATAATTGCCTTTAATAGTTCACCTCTTCGTATAATCACCATTTAACTATACCTCCAGATCTTCGGTATTCTGATGATTTGTATTACACTTGTCACCGGAATTGTTTCAAAAGGGGAATTTGCAGTTCGCAATGAGTTCTACTTCCTATGACCAAAAAATTGCCAGTGCAGATCTACGTCTTTGTTCAACCCCCATATAACGATACCTCCCAATATTCGGCGTTTTGATGATTTTTGCTACATTATTCACCGGGATTAACTCAAACTTGGTATTTAGAGTTTGTAATAGTTGTTGGCCTCGCAGGCAGATAATTGGCTATAGATGTCCACGTTTTCTTATAGCCCCATAAAAAAGAGATACCTGAAACTTGGACTTTTTAAAAATGTAGAGGCATTTTTCGACGACAACCAAGGGGCATTCAAGGTTCGACCCGAGCAAACTTAGCTTTTTTACTTGTCAAAAATTAATAAAAAATATTTAATAATATTAACAATGAGTTAGAAGGTTCATTTGTAGGTGGTTGTCTAAAAAAATGCTGTTCAAGAACAAGAGCCCGCTCAGCAGTTTATTGTTCTTTGCTTTTAGAAATCATAAACAAATCATTAATAACTTTGGACCAACTTCACATTTAAAAGCAATTGAAATAAATCATAGAATAAAAAGACAGAATATTAATTTTCTCTTTAATGTTCTCTTTTGCGGACTTATGTGCTAGCACACGGCTTTAAGCAGTGCTGCTAAAAATTCATTATTTGGTAATGGAAATTTTTGCGGAAGGTGATGCAAAGTGACAACTTTTAACATTATCGGTGGGTATATATTGTTAGTTTTTATTTCTTATTTTTCTCATCGCATAAAGTGTGTGCTTAGGATTACAAGACCAAACGGAGAAGAGAACATTAATAAAATATGATGAATATTATGTCGAAGATCATTTGTAGCTCTACGATTCGACAGTTTCTAGTTTTTTGTTTGGGTGGTATATTTTTTAGAAATCTATTCCAAATGTCTTATGTTGAAGATAACATCTTCCCTTGGACATCCCTGATCAAAAAAGTTTTAAAATTCCATTTCTGGCTACATTGGTGATACCTGAATATATTGCATAAATTGTTCCCCCATCAGCCGTTGTGTTAAACTATTTCAACGCAATGACCGATATATTTTTAATCCCTGAAATTCTTTGAATATTTTTGCACAAATTATTTTATTTTCGAACACAAATTGTTTCCTTGTCACTTTTGTTGTCATTGTGAATTTATCGTACAGTATGTAAATTTTCGGTCATATATATTTACTACGATCACGATGACATTATCTATAATTGAGCCGGCAACAATTGTATAATTTGTGCAGACATACATATAAGTATGTATTTTTAAATATATTTGTTTTATGAACATTATAGGTGTTTATATATATTTTTGACCGTAGAAACATTTACCACAAAGCACTAGAGTCACACGAACGATGACGACGATGCTGCCTCTAACCACAAGTGGCCACTAACAAATAATCAAAACCGCCTAAATTAATCATTTTATTATGTAAAAAACAATATTTATATTTATTATTTCTAAATATTGAAATAATTTCAAAACTTACGCCACAATTCTTATAAATATGAGAATCAATTTATTACTTAAGTCGGAAGTGTTACCATAGACAAATTAAGTATAGACTAAAAAGTTGTCTCATCTGTTATCTCTGAAAAAAGTGCTTCAATAGATGTCGTTCATGCTGTGAGAGAGGTTCAGTAGACTCACTCAATTCTCTTAAAATACAAAATATTAAATATTTTTATGATTCTTTATTATTTATCAATAAAACACGAAACATCGACTTGATTTACTTTTACATTATCTAAATATGTCGTGAAATATAAAAATATAGAACTTAAATAGCAGAAAAATGAATAAATTGTTTTCGAAGTCGAGTGACATCACTAGCCCTAAGTGACTTGACTAGCCCAAGATCAACAATAGTGACATCTGCCCGAAGGGAAAATTTTAAAACTTTTTAGTCTATACCTTTATTTGTCTATGGTGTTACTCCATTGGCTTAACTTGTGTTTATGCTCCAATACAGAGTGTAATGTTGAAACTGAGATCTTTGCAATATTTTCTGAAGGCCTACAATGTCATGATATAAATTTAAGTTTCATTCCCTTTTTCTGTTTTTTCATACCCTCCACGGAGGGTATATAAAGTTTTTCATTCCGTTTGTAACACCTCGAAATATACATTTTAGACCCCACAAAATATATATATTCTTGATCAGCATAAAATTCTATGTCGATTTAGCGATGTCCGTCCGTCTGTGGAAATCACTCTAGCTTCCGAAAGAAATGAATTAAATTGATAAAATGTTACTCAAATTTATATTATGTCTGCAGGATTTTTGGTATTGAAAATGGGTCATGTATCTCCACATTTTGGTGTAGCCCCCATATAACGGTACCTCCCGATATTCGGTATTTTGATTATTTTAGTGTCTTTATTCACCGGAATTGTTTCAAATTTGGTATTTGAAGTTCGTAATGGATACTACAGCACATGACAGGAGATTGTTTGTGCAGGTCCACGTCTTCGTATAGCCCCCATATAACGGTACCTCCCGATATTTGGTACTTTAAGGAATTTAGCAACATTATTCACCAGAATTATTTCAAATTTGGTATTTGAAGTTCGTAATGAGTACCACAGCATAAGACAAAAAATTGTCTGTGCAGGTCCACGTCTTCGTATGGCCCCCATATGACGGTTCCTCCCGAAATTCGGTATTTGATGATTTTAGCGACATTATTCACGGGAATTGTTTTAAAATTTGGCCTAAGTAAGAGAATTGCTACATTATTGACCATTTTTTTTTTTTTAATTTTCGCATTTGAATATTATAATGGCTTATGACGTTTTATGAGCTTCATGAATATTTAAATAAAAAAAATTACCACTTTTGGGAGAGGTACTTGATGGAGTGGACCGATACTATCCATTGTCGCACTTGACCGAGCACTGATTTATTAGTATTCACAAAGTCGAAATAAAATCGGATTATCGGATTATTTCGAACTTTTGTGGGCGAGTTGCCAGAAGGAGTGGACTGATATTGCCCATCTTCGAACTCGATATTTGGCGATATTTTCTTGTTCTATTAGGGACATTATTTTCTTTGAATTTTTTTACCTTTTGTGGGTATGTATCAGAAGGAGTATACCAATATTGTCCATCTCCGAAGTGGACCTATGTTTACGATTTACCAAGTTTGGACCAAATCTGATACTCCCCAAACAGACGGACGAACGGACCGACGGGCATTGCTAGATCGACTCCAAATGTCCTGAAACGGCTTTGGTCCAGTGAGACCTAGGCATGTGCCTTATTTCGATGAGGCACATTTTGGCCGTCTCAGATATAACCTCCATAGCCATATGACTGAGAGTATACAAATGAGTGATTTACTTTTTTTGGCCGTCAATTTGCGGTGGTCGTTTTAAAACAAAGAGCATTTCTTTTATTTTTAATTTCAAAAAAAACAGGGCTTATCAAAATGGGTTTATGGTTACACAGCAATCATAAATAAATGCAATTGAAAACCCAAACAAAAAATTCCGAGTTATTAAGAATAATTACAACAAATAATTTCTCCATTGTGGTTTTCGAAATTTGCAAAATGAGTCAGAAAACTGACGCATAGGTCTATATAAAAATTAGCAAATCAATTTTTCAAAAGATCCCCAATATACCAAAATAGCTTGAGTGTAATAATATTATAATGAGCTTTAGAAAATACGTTTTTAGATTGAAAATGTTGAGATTATATGGAGAAATGCTTGAGTAGGGCCAGTGTACTTCAGTGACAATTTTCATCAATGTTTAGGACACTTTCATGAGACCAGAAATCTCAGCAGCTATACTCTTAGAGAATTCGGAATGGTTTAATGTTTTCGAAAAATTTCCTATTGAGTAGAACTCTCCCAAGAACTACCTCAACTCTAAAAAAAACATTTAATTTTGAAGTATCGATAAATATTTATTTCCCAAAATACAGCCATGACTCACCAATCAGCTGCGGTACATCTTCCCTTGACCTTCATTTGTGAAGAGTTATGAAACATTGTCATTACCTCATTGTCTTGAGCTGTCAGACATTCCCCTGCAATTTCAATTAGTTCCAAAAAAATTGTTGAAGTTCATGGAAATGTCATTTCAATAATTTGTTGCTGCTCGCGACTTGGGCGAAAATCTTGGAAAAAATGATTTCATTTCGTTAATGAATTAACTACAAAATTCGTTTATTTCAATAAAAGAGCAAATGACTGACTGACTGGCTAACTGAACTTGTTGTGGGTCTTCAAAACAAAATTGATTAATTTATGTTCCTCACCAAACAAAAAATGTGTTTCGTTTCGGTTAAGGGGGGGTCAGCAGCTAATAAACCAAATTTAAAAAAATATTAAGATTTATGTTTCGTGTGTTTGGAAATGTTTGGAAATTGAATAGGGGGGAGGGGAATCGGTCACGTATGTGATGACATACTAGCATAGATCTACATTGCATGTTGCTGTTACTGTTTTTTTCTTTCCATATTTTTGTTAATATAATTTTGCAATGATTTTTTTTTTCGTTTGTTTGTTAATCAACATAAATTGAACATGAACTGCTTTAATTAAATCTTGTCTTTTTTTCTTTCTTTCAATTTTTTCTAGATGAACGCGATGCCATTCAAAAGAAGACATTCACAAAATGGGTCAATAAACATCTCAAAAAGGTAATGTAACAAAAAAATATTGTTTCTCAAATCAAATTTCTTCTTAGACACAGACAAAGAGAGGGCCTTTCTGGGAAATGAAAAAGAAGAGGACCGGTAATAATTTATAATGGGCTTGATTGTAACACCTCATCTTCTTCATCATCATCCTCACCACCATCATTGCCATCTCAATAATTGTGGTTATCATCGCAATTGAAAGGCATACTTTGTTCGAATATCACCATCAAGCGCTCTTTACAAATACCCAGTTACACAAAAAGATGAAAACAAAATGAAAAAGACGAAAACACAAAGCAAGGCAAACAATTGCAAATTTTCTTCTCGGCCGCGACGAGAGAAGTGAGAAAGAAATTATTTGCCAGATTATTAGGGCCTTGTTTTGAATTGTTAGACTTTCACTATTGCCACCATCAACACCACCTCCATCTGGTGTTGGTGTTGGCCATGTAATAATGACTGGCGGTCTGTCCATGTTGTGTTTCCTTTCAAAGAAATACAAATGGCAAACAACAATGACACACAGACACCCATACCCCTACTTTTACCATAAAAGTCACACTTTGCAGTTCGCTCACTCTAATCACACCTGATCATGAAAAGAAAGTCATGTTTTTTTTAATTTTATCTCATTTTATTTTTGTATCTCATGACTGTTTTTTGCTTTTTAAAAATTCTTTTTTCATGCAGCACTGGAAATATGCAAAGGTATCGTTATTTTTCTACTCTTTCCGATTGTCAATTTGTTGTCACTTTGAAGTAAAATAAAGGTGTAAGTCCACTTTTTGCTGCAACATTTTTTCAGTTTCGCGAAAATTGAGAATTTCTTATTAAATTAGTTGTTGTTGTCAGGTATAAAAGCAAAAAAAGTAACTTCATATAATAGTGTTTAGTTCCAAATCTGGAGTAGAATTGAAATATTAACCCTCATCCAGTATTCGTCGGTATAAATTGCCCAAAAGCGTTTTGTTTTTGGCAAGAATTTTTGGTTTGAAAGATAGAAAATTTAAGGCATACCAGTTTGGGACCAAGACACAATATATATGACGAGATAGAAGTCAGGTTAGGTTAGAGGATAATTAGATACAATTGAAATTGTATCTACCTCACTCGGAGACCTTAAATATTGTATGACCTTAATATTTTAGGAATGAAGCAAGGGTGGGTTTTCAGTGGTTTTAAGTAAATTAAGGTTAGTTTCCTAGGTGTAGCCTTTAGTGCCGTTTTACTACAACAGATTTCTTAAGGACATTTTTGGGGGCATTATAAGTTTGATTGGGCCAAAATTATGTAACACCTCGAAATATTGCACATAGGAAACTATATGTGGATCTTCCTATCTCGCCGAGCTGAGTCGATATAGCTATGTATGTCCGTCTGTCCATGTTAATTTGTAATCAAGCTACAGGTCGCAATTATGGCCCGATCTTCACGAAAGCCTATTGTTTTTGGTGATGATCGCAAATTATTTAGGAGTTGAAATGGACCAAAAAAAAAAAAAAAAATAAAAAATTCTTGATTTTGCTGTTACTCTACAGGCCATAATTATAGACCAATCGAGTTAGAGTTTGCGGCTGGACAGAAGCCTACTAATTTGGAAATTAGTTAGGGGTTAAAATAAACCATGAAAGTTCATGTTTAAAAAATGCGAAAATTTCCACTAAACGCAAATATTTTTAATCCCTACGAAATCACAAATACATTAAAAGGTTACTTCTGACTATTGCAGTGATGTTCATAGCCAAGATATCGGACATATAACAAAATATTTAAAAATATTTAACAAAACTACAACAAAGTCAAACGCCAAAATTTTTAAATTTTTTTTAAATCTTAGCTAAATTTAGAAAACAAAGAATATCGGAAATAGCATCAAATTTTAGAATAAGTTTAGATTTGTTCGAATTGGTCACCTTTGGCACGAATTATGGTCTTCAAACGGTCAATGAAACCGTCACACGCTCTGCGGTATTTTGGCTCATTCCCGGCTAAACGCTTGCTTGAGGTGATCGACACTTTGGTATTTTTTAGTGCCAACCTTGCTTTCCAAAATATTCCAGACACAATACGGTCAACGGATTGGTATTCGGAGATTTTGGTGGCCATTTTGTGCTGGAAATGAAGCGAGGAACCTCATTTTGAAACCATTCTTGTGTGGCGCCTGCGTATTCCTATTGGAATGTCCAAACCAGGTCTGCGGCCAAAATATTTGCGTGCCCAAGGCTTTAATACACCCTCCACAATATTTTTGCGATAATGTTCGGCATTTATTCTGATGCCATGGTCGATTAATACGAGCGGAGAATTATCATCGGCCCACACTATCACCATGGCCGACACTTGAGTTCTGGTGGCCAACCGAAGGAGTACATTTTCAGCTGACCTCTCTGGCAAGTAAACACGATCACTTTGTTTGTTTACAAACTGCTGGACAACGAATGTTTTCTCATCGGGGAAAACCAAATTCGGAAGTTCACCACTTTCGGTCAAGCTTTACCTCTTTTAAGTCTATTTTCTTTCTGTTGCGATGTAAGTTCTTGCACTTTTTGGAATTTCAGTGGCTTTACCCCGAGCTCATTTTTCAATATTTGCCGAATGGAAAACAGTAATGTCGACGAAGATATTGAATAATATTTCAAAAGACTTTGGTAAGAATAGTGCAAAATAGTCATTATTCCTTAAAGGCTTTATGTTGGAAAACTTTTCGAATTTAAAATATCTCGCAAAATATTGTAGCTAGAGATTAGCAGCAAAAAATCTTAGAAAATGCAAGGAAACAAAATGAAAAAATGGTGCCACCAAATTTGAGAGTTCCTACCCTTTTCAGGAAACCCTCTTCCTTGTGGAGCTCATAATAAAAGGATGAAAGGACGTTCATAGTTATACCCACCTCAACAGTGTATTCAAGACCTCAATTTAAATTATCCAACAGCAAAATACAACAATTCAATTTAATGACCTCGGAGGAGTTTTTATAAACGTTTTTTAAAGCATATTTTGAACTGTGGCTTAGAATGCAGTTCGGGGTACCATAACAATTTAATAACTTTTTTTTGAGCATGTATATTTTCGAAACGGGCAAAAGTGGACTTATCACCTTTGGAACTTCAACCATGTGATATTAATTTATGTAATGTTACAATATTTCCTTTTTAAGTTTTTAATCTACTTTTGTGCTATTTAGTTTTCAATTTCTTCTTTTGTTGTGAAAAAATAAAAACTTTCTAATTCCTAAATTTTAATAAAAATATACCAACATAAATTCACCCTTCCAGACATACACAATGTTACATGTTTGTGTGTACACAAATGGGGTACCCTGTTGTCCGCTGTCTGCCGTAAGTTTATTTACCCAATCCCAGGACTAGTTTATTTTCAAAATTATTAATTTTTGTTTGTTTTTGTAGTTAATTGCAAAATTGCAACTTTAAAATTTGCACTGCAAGCGCTAAATTATTTTCTTTTTTCGTTTTTAATTTTTATTTTATTTTTTCCAAAAATCAGCAGAGGCCTAAAGCATTTTCGTTTATTTTTAATAACCTTGACCTATTTTTGTGATGCTACAAATCTTTAAATAAGATTCTTAATTTTATCTCTTGCTTGCTCCTTCCGCTTTCCAGTTTTTAATCATCAATGTTCAGTCTAAATCAGGAACGTATCCAGGAATTTTATTTTAAAACCATCACGGGCGTTAGGCCCAACTTGCACAAAACCCCACTTTTCCTTGAAATATGTAAAAAAATGTCAGAAAAGTAAACAGATCGAAGAGAAAAGGTAGAAAAATTCTCTAAGATTTAAAACCCAAAATGCTCTTCCGTTGGCCGTTCCGTTACTTGAGCTTGCCATCAAAGTTATGACCTTTCCCTCGTCGTGAATCGTCAGTGAGTATTTATTTAGAATGAGACCTTTGGTCCATTGTGCTGTTCCGTTAGACAGAGAATGTTTTTGGCAAACTTAAGCGGATGATGGGATCTATGTTTAAATTTCCCATAAAACCGGACATCTGCGCAGCAGTCAGGAACACTGTTATCCCGTCTTGAGGTCAAAAATTTGATGCTGCAGTGGTCAGTTACAATGCCAACCACGTTTCTTAGATCAGACCTACTAAGTGATAGAAGGGTGCTTGTGCTTCTTTTCGAGATTACCGGGCAGATGGCCTTACATACCCTACCCTACAACCAGTCTTTAAGTGTTATCTTCTACGATGAAAGATTTTTTTGGATCAGCTAACATAAGTTATTAAACCATATTAGTGGTTTAACGGGTACCAGAAGCAGAGGATCGGGTCGATGTTTCCATTTATGAGCCGATACTGTCCATCTTCGAAGTGGTATTAAGTTTTTGGTAACAACTACGATTTGACACGTTTGGACCTTAACGCAAACAGCCACACGGACTGAAAATCGTGATAGCTCAGATATAGGAACTACTTGGAAAGCCATTTTCAAAGATTTTCAACTTTTGTCTTATCTGCTTTTTAACAAAGTCGAATTGAAGAAAAATCAAAAATAACTAAGAATAAAGACGCCCTTTATCTTTTTTTGCACACATGAGATCATTTGGACTCCTTAGGACTCCAGTTCTCCACCAAAATTTAACTTTGTGAGATTTGGTGTAATTTGGCTACTAGGTTATAGCATGGTACAATGAAGAGAAGGTAGGTCAACTTTGAAAAAATTACAAGTATACAGGTCTACCTGTTTGGCTTGTAATGTCAGAAATAGTATCAAAACAATAACAAAATCAAACAACTTGTTGCATTCATTTTGAATAAATAATTGAAAACCGCGAAAACTGAATGAAAGGTCAACATTTCTTTTCAAAACCAGGTTCTATATATCTCTAAAGGATTATTTCGCTACAAAAACTCTAGATTTTATCGATGCATACGATGAAATAAACATTTTGAAAACATCCGAATTTAAATGTTTTCTGAAAATTTTTTTTTGTTATTGAAAAGAAAACACATACATAAACAAATAAAGATGACATATTAAGCCAAGAAAATAAAAAAATTGAAAACATATGGTATCATAGCCCTACCTTGATATCATTGTACCATGGGTTATAGGAAAAATTGTTCCTATGTTTCAAAAGCTTGCCATAACTGCTTGAAATTTTATACTTATTACCAAGAATGCAATGATATATAGCAACACTGAAATTTTATTTTGATTTTGTTTTTTTTTTAACGATTTTTTTGATACCATTGACCCACTGTGCAATTTCTTTTTGATTTTTTTTGTGTTTGCTGATGTTTGTTTTTGTTTGTTTTCATTACACATTTCCTAGTTTTCTTTTTTTATTTTGCATGACATTATTAATAAATAAAAAACCAACCACCCAACTTGGCACATTATTTATTTTATTATTTTTTTCTTTTATTTTTTCCTTTCCAAAAACAATTGAAAATTGAAAAATTACTGCAATAATCTGCCTTTGGAAATCTAAAAAATTCTTCAGGCCAATCGACGTGTTGAAGATTTATTTGAAGATTTACGCGATGGACACAATTTACTCTCTCTTCTGGAAGTGCTTTCTGGCGAACACTTGGTAAGTTTACAAAATGCCTGTCAAACATTACAAAAACAAATTTTAATTCGTATTCTCTTTTCTCGCTTTTAGCCCAGAGAAAAGGGAAAAATGCGTTTCCATATGCTGCAAAATGCCCAAATGGCATTGGATTTTCTACGCTACAAAAAGATAAAATTGGTTAACATCAGAGCAGAGGATATTGTCGATGGCAATCCCAAACTGACACTCGGTTTGATCTGGACAATTATTTTACACTTCCAGGTAAGTTCATCCAGAGTAGATTTATTTTCGAAAACAAAACGAAAACACCCTCAAATGTTGTCCCTGAGAGCAGCAGTGTACCATATGTATGTATATACATTTATATGTTGGCTGTCAACTACTCCCACAAAAAAAGTGGAAGTTGTTCCATTTTGGTAATTCTAGTTTCAAGTAACACATTCGATCGCGCGCGCACACACAACATCCTACAAGACTTTCGATTTCTAAATTTATTGATAACAAGTTGGCATTCAGGCAATCGCCAGATAGGTATGTGTGTGGATGTGTGTTTTGATACATAATATCTGGTGTTTATTACAATTCATAGCCACGGATGACGTGTGCTGTTCCCCAACACCATGGCTATGGTTTCTAGAGAGTAGGAGCATACCACTTGATGTTGTTGCCGCTGCTGACTGCCTGCCTGCCCACACATTTGTGATGTCTATTAATGCCGCCGCAGACGCCAAAACATCCAGCCAAACAACCACTTTGGTTGGTAATACAGCCTCCAATTGAAATATGCCTGGCTTTGACGAAACTCAAGATTTGTTTCCATTGATCGCACAAGACTAATCTGTCAACACGAAAAGCAACAACAACAACAAATGGAAACCAAAAGTGCCATGTCGTCGCTGTTTGAGTATCGATTGTTGCCATACCAGTAATGCCAAATATGGCAGGTAGGTGGCAGCAATAGCCACACACTCTTGGCGAAACGAACAGAAGTTAACAGAATAAGACGACAGCTAAATGCTTGGCTCTGCTGACATACATACTTGCGTGGATTGCAACGTTAGACTGGAGTGGTTGCTGCTGGCTGCCTGGCTGGCTGACATACACTGAAAGAAAATTCACCAACTTTGCCCCAAGAACACCGGATATTTCCCACAGAGTAGTGTCTCATGTTTGACAGGGGTTTTCTTAACCGCCCACTGGATATTTAATGTTTTTGTTTTCATAAATTAGAACAACTTTCAATTTGATGTTTTCAATGAACATGTCTGATAATATTTTTGCAAAAAAATGTTCAAATTAATTAACACAATTTTCAACTGCCATTTAGAAAAGATAATTGACAGTATAACAGCTTTATTTGAAATCTAAAAAATGTTCATTGAACAAAATCCTCTCCCTTCTGTACTTTGTTAATCCTCCTCGGGTACATATGGAAAGGAATTCAATGTAAAATGTTTTCAGAAATTTTGAAACTCCATTGGATTCTGAGAAAAATATGATATTCCATTCGATATTCGGAATTTATTGGTAAAAATTCTAATTATTCATTTTAAATAAAAATAATTTAATTATAATAGATTTCTTGAGAATTCCGAAGGGAATTGCATTCATTTTTTAATACTTTATATAAAATTAAATTTCTTAATTTCAATTCATATATGATTTTTATTAAGGGATGATCCATCATCCGAACCACCTTTAGTTACCTAGAATGTTTCAAATTGATGAATTTTATTATCCCTACCTGCTTTAATACATGACATCAACATAGGAAATGTAGTGGCCATTAGTATGCCCACAGAGGAGATCCTGCCCCAGATAAAGCGGATAACTTACACTTAAAGATAGAATAAAGCAAAACAAGAGTCAATTTTAATGTTGCAGTTCCAGCTTTGGTATTATTTGGAGGTTCATCAAACTCTCATATGGGCTAAGTTTGACAACTATAAAAGCTATAACATCTGTTGGACAATTGCACCACAATTGTTCATTGGGAAACTTAAAAATATTTTAATAAAAACTAATTTGTGTTACCATGCAAAAATATATTGATATGTTTTTTATGTTACAAAAGTAGGCTTTGTTTTTATATGTATTCGTAATGAAAAGAAAAATATTTTTTTTGTTAGTCTATAAACTTTACTGCTGTGGACAAGTTGTCAAATAATAAAAAAAATTGAAAAGCTGAATTGAAAATCCACACAAGAAGTTTTCTTAATCAAAGGGGAATATCCTATAGGTTATGGGCCCAGGCTACGCTGAAACTAATTAATAGAAAATGGATAAATTAAAAAGAAATATTAAACCCTTCGATGGAGAAAGATATTCTGTGTGGAAGTTTAGAGTTAGAGCGCTGTTGGAAGAAATGGACGCTTTGAAAGTTATAGATTGTGAATTCCCGAAAGAATTAACCCCAGAATGGATAAGAAGTGAAAGAACTGCAAAAAGTGTAATCATCGAATATCTAGGCGATTCTTTTCTTGGTTTTGCAAACACTGAAAGTACAGCAAAGCAAATTTTTAAAGATTTGGATGCAATATATGAACGGAAGAGTTTGGCATCCCAATTGGCGGTGCGAAAAAGACTGCTGTCTTTAAAGCTAAAAGGTGATACATTGTTAATGAATCATTTCATAATATTCGATGACCTGATTGCTGAGTTAATGGCTTCCGGAGCTAAAATTGAGGAAATGGACAAAGTATCCCACTTGTTGTTGACACTGCCATCAGCGTATGATGGCGTCATAACGGCGATTGAGACATTATCGGAGGATAACTTAACATTGGCATTTGTAAAAACTCGATTACTTGACCATGAGATAAAATTGATAAACGATAACCGAGACACCAGTGGAAAAGTTTTACAAGCCGTTAACAATCAAAGATACAATAACAAGGTCTTTTCACATAATTTCAAAAATAAAAGTAAATTCAAATCATACAAAACTTCTAAATCAAGTGCGAAGTGCCATTTCTGTGGTAAAAAAGGACACATTAAAAAAGATTGTTACGGATTTAAAAAACAGTTAAATGAAAAAAATTTCGATAGTGGAAAAACAGTTCAAACTGCAGCAACCCAAATTGAAAAAGGATTTGTATTCATGATAGGGCAGCACTTGAACACTGCCTCAAAAGGCAACATTTCTTTTCTATTGGACTCCGGTGCCTCTGATCATATGATAAATGACTCAAGCTTGTACACAGATTTTATTTGCCTGGAGTTTCCCATTAAAATTGGAATTGCCAAACAAGGAGAATTTATATACGCAACCAAGAAAGGAATAGTAAAGCTGTTCACTAAAGGTCAAGAGCAAATCACATTGGAAAATGTTTTATATTGCCAGGAAGTTCCTCAAAACTTACTATCCGTGAAGAGAATGCAAGATGCTGGTTTGACTATTGAATTTAATCCAGGGGGTGTTATAGTTACCAAAAACCGACAAGTTGTTATGGATGGTAAATATAAAAATAATATTCCAACTGTAGATTTTGAGCTGTTTTCAAGCATTTACACATCAAGAACATTAAGAAATGAAAACTATCGATTGTGGCATGAAAGATTAGGGCATGTATCTAAAGGGAAATTTTTGGAAATAAAAAGCAAGGGCATGTTTAGTGACACAAATCTTTTGGAAAATGCAGAACCTGACTGTGATTTATGCGAAGCTTGTATAGATGGTAAGCAATGTAGGTTGTCATTTAGTAAAAAGAAAGACAAAGAACATATAAAAAGACCTTTATTTATTATCCATTCGGATGTTTGTGGTCCGATTACGCCCTCTACCATTGATGAAAAGAATTATTATGTTATTTTTGTTGACCAATATACACATTATTGTGTGACATACTTAATAGCTCATAAGTCGGATGTATTTTCAGTTTTTAAAGATTTTGTAGCTAAAAGCGAATCTCATTTTAATTTAAAGGTTGTTAACCTCTATGTAGATAATGGAAGAGAATATCTATCTTCTGAAATGAAAGATTATTGTGTTCAAAAAGGAATAAGCTATCATTTAACCGTTCCACATACACCTCAACTAAACGGTGTGTCCGAACGGATGATAAGGACAATAACAGAAAAAGCTCGTGCTATGGTGAGTGGAGCTAAATTGGATAAAGTTTTTTGGGGTGAAGCCGTTCTAACGGCAACTTACTTAATAAACAGACTTCCCAGTAAAGCGTTGGGTAAAGAAACAAAAACACCTTATGAAAAATGGCACAGTAAAAAGCCGAGTTTAAAATATTTAAAGGTTTTTGGTTCAACGGTGTATGTGCATAACAAAATACGAAAACGAAAATTTGATGAAAAATCATCCAAGGGAATATTCGTTGGATATGAATCAAATGGATATAAAGTCTGGGATGTGGAAAGTGGAAAGTTTTTGATAGCTAGAGATGTTATCATGGATGAAAGGAATATGGTAAATTCCAGGAATGTAATTAAAGAGAATGTTGAACCGGAAAATGTGCTAAAAATCCCGAATGACAGTACGGATATAATTCCAATTGTCCCGAATGATACTACGGACAGAATTTTGACTATCCCGAATGAAAGTACGGAAGTGAGTAAAAATGTCCTGAATGACAGTAAGGAAAAGAAAAAATATGAACAGTCCATGGAACATATATCAAATAAGGTTGATCCAGACGAAACTGGTGTTCCTGTATTTGAAGAATCAAATGAACACAATAATCAGTTGTCCAATTCGGAAACTGAAACAGAGATCAGAAGAAGTGGAAGACTTAGGGATAAACCACAAATTTCATACAGAGAAGATGATTGTTTTTTCTTGGAATGTGTGTTAGGTATTCAAGCTCATTCTGATGTACCGACATTTTTTAATGAAATTGAAAATAGAAACGATAGAAAACACTGGGAAAAAGCAATAAACGATGAGCTTAAATCACATTTTGAGAACGAGACATGGACTCTTGTATCAAAACCTATTGGTAAGAATGTAGTTGATTGTAAATGGGTTTTTTCATTGAAACATGATGAAAAAGGAAATCCAGTAAGATACAAGGCTAGGCTTGTTGCTCGAGGTTTTACCCAAGAGTACTTAGTTGACTACGATGAAACCTTCGCTCCTGTAGCTAGAATTTGCAGCTTTCGCATTCTGATGGCTTTTTCAAACCAACACAATTTAAAGGTACATCACATGGATGTAAAGACAGCCTTTTTAAATGGAATATTGAAGGAGGAAATCTACATGAAAATTCCACAGGGATTGGATTGTGGGGATGATAAAATTTGTAAACTAA